TAAAGTACTTTTGTTTCTGAGATATATATATATATATATATATATATATACACACACACACTTCTGTTCTGCCTGTTTGTTGCCATGTTGTGGTTGAGCAGTGCTAATAAGTGTTGATAATGACATCACTGTTAATTGTATGAAATCTCGGATTATTTTTGGTAACTATTAGCTGCAAATTTTTTCTTTCTTCTCTCGTTCCTGTCTCCCTCCCCACCTGTAAAGATTTATTAATTTTTTAGTTTGTGTGTAATATATATATATATATATATATATGCATGCTTGTCATAAGTAGTGGCTGACTAATGTAGGAATTAAAAAATGATAGCTTGAAAGCATGTTAGAATTCTTTATTCTGTTATCACTGCCTAAGCCCGCTCTTCTAATAGTACAATAAAAGTCTAGTTCAATCACTAAGTGGCCAACACTAAGTTAACTTTCTATATAAATTTTATATTTTTTACCTCCTCCATATGGTAAAATACCAAATGAACCTTAAAATGTAATGTGAATCTAAACTTCAGATAAGGATTTTTAAGTACTGAGTACTTCAAACTTAAATAAAAAAGGCACTCGTGTCATTTGCTTCAATTCTCTTTGACAGATAAGTCTCTGTAGAATATTAAATCTATCATTGTCTTGTCAAACACATCAGAACAGTTACTGTCATGTTAAATGTATTTAAATTTAATATATAAGCTTGAAATTTTAAAACTAAAAGCTTTAAAGATTTTTTTTTTTTTTCATTAAAAATTTTTAAACCTTTAGGTTTTTTACTTTTGTGGTCTCTATATCTATGCTTTTGCTTACAAGGGGGGGGAAAAAGCACATGTGCTTATTACTTTGAAAATTTAAGAAATAAAAAGTTATGTAGAAATGCCAAGATTAAACAAATCATTTTAATCCATGATAATTGGAGTCCTTCAAGTAGATGTGGGCCAATCTTATGTCATCCTGCTTAAGCATATTGTATAAGTTCTCTTGCCTTTTTTTTTTTTTTTTTTTTTTTTTTTTTTTTTTTTTTTTTTGTCTTATTTTCTTGGTAATTTAATAACTTATTTTGCTAAATGTGAAGCTCTTTCCTTTTGAATATCAATGCCCAATTTTGGATGTTCTTGATGACCGTCAACATGTGATTCTCTTTACAGAACTTGTTACAGCTGAATGTAATCATTAGATGCATTTATTAGAGTAAAAGCTTATATTCATAAAACTTACTTTCGTTGATTCTGAAACCAAGTCAATTCCTTGCCACTGATTTTCACTTTAAATATTCAAAGTAAATTGAATTGACAATGTGTTGATTTTTTTTTTTTTTTTCTAACAATACGACAAATGTACTGGTTATCATTGTCTGAATTGCTTATACCTGTAGTCCTGGATGAAAAAACATAATTTATCAAGTTTTAATTCGGATTTAATTCGCTTTCCTTTAAGTAATTTCCTTCTTGTAAATTAGGAACCAAATTTTCAATGCATTTGTGTATACTTTAATTTTTTTTTTTTTTTTCTTTTCTGCGACTGTAACATAGGACTGGCATTTCCTTTTTAGAGTTCTTGAAAACCTTGTATTGCTGTATGTTGACAAATCTTATTGGAATATCCTACTCCAAATATTAAATCATTGCTTGAAATTTTGTTAGGTTTTTTTGAGCCAACAATTTGTCCTGACCCTTTAAATTAAATACTAATGTAAAAATTGCATATAATAGAAGTAATCAATATGAAGTATGCTGGGAGGGAACGTTTAGTTTGAATATTTGCCTTTCTCTTAGCTTGAAATATTTTTTATATATATCTCAGAATTTTATTACTTTAAACTTTAGTAGTGGAGTGTCAACGAAAATATGGGTATCCACTAAAAGTAAAGTTTGTAATAAAAATGTCACTAATAAATAAAAATCCATTTCTTTTGGGAATTGCTTTTACATTTCGGATACAGAATTGGGTAATTGTGAGCATTTCTAGAAAAATGTGAAATGTGCTTAGAAAGGCAACTAGAACCTCACTTGATCATGCTGCTGTTCATAGCTGAATTGGTTAAAGCACATCAGATCTAACATTTTCCTCCTACAAAGGACACTCCTTCAAATCTTGTTGGAAGGTGCATTTTTTTTTTCTTTTTAATAAGTTCTTGAGTATTCAACCTAGTAGACCAAAATACTTAAAACAAAACTGTCTACTCAAAAATGTGTATCCACTAAATATTTTAGTTATATCTGGAATTTTTATATACATACTTATTATGCCATATCAAGTTGAAACACAGGCTTCTGTACAACCACTGAAGTGAAATTAAGCAACATAGAACCTGGTCAGTACCTAGATGAATGACCTCTTGGAAATGCCATGTGCTGTAAGCTTGGAAATGCAGCTGGTGTAATGGTAATGACTCCAACTTAGAAATTGGAGCCAAGTCCAAATTCCAGTTGGCTTTATTATATTTACTCATGCTCAAGTACCCCTGGGGAAAAGTATGAATCAACCTCTTTCCCTTCCCTAGGCTGTGGGTTAGTTAATAGCACATATCAAATCATTCTCTCCCAAAAATCTAAATATTTTCTGGCTTTAAATAACCAGCAAAGGCTTAAGTCATAATTATATATGACTGTTAGAAAATTAAGCTCTGTTAGTTAAAATTAAAATTTCTGAATGTTTAAAATTGCTTTTGAATTGAATCTGTATCATTTAAGTTTATATTTACTGAAAAAAAAATCTTTTCCCTTTATAAATTGCCTGAAATAACCTGAGTAACTAGCAATAGAAGTAAACTTTAATTGGAGCCTAATGTGTGTTTTTTTTTTTTTTTTTTTTTTTTTTTTTTTTTTTAAGACTTTAAGTCTGGTATTGGCATTTGTTAAATGCAGTTTAATTTTGTTCAAATAAGACTCGCTGAGTTTAAGGAAATGCTGGAAAAAAAACAGATAGTTTTCAAACATAGAAGAAAAAAAAAAGAATTACAAGTATTCAGAATACTAACAGTTGTAGACTAAATGTGTAATAACACATTTAGCCTACAACTGTTAAATAGTGTGCTGCTGTTATTACCACTGCCACATGTTACCACAGTGTCAAAGGAATTTCTCTTGACAGCTCTAATTCTAATATTTTGAATTAGAAAATTTTATTTGCATATGTGCTTAAATTTTTTTTTTTTTTTTTTTTTTTCTTTCTTTCTGATTGTTTTAATGTATACAGACTGAATGGATTTTATATTGAAATGTGATAATATAATTAACAGAAAAATCTTTATTGGAAAATTCATCTAGACAATATATAGTTGTATTTAATGGTAAATCCTGTTCGGGTCTTCAATGAGCTTGGGTCATTGGCAATATAAACTTATTGATGAAACTAGATTACTTGACTATTATTTCTCTCTTCTTGTCATGCATTTTCTTTTTCCCTTAACCTTGGACTGCTGTCATAGTGACCTCCAGCCTCTCTTTGCTTGAGTAATTATCTGGTTGTAGTGGAACTTTAACACAATTGACCACTCCAAACCTACTTTACACTGATCATTTCTTTCTAGTGTTTCAGAAATGTCTACAGTTCTACAGGTAGATGCTGAAATAAATACCTTGGAAATGGTGTAGCTGGCTAGTGTGACAGGAATTGTCTGTTAACTAGAAATTATGGTAATGGGAGAATTTTCATGATGGTTATGGCAGGTTGTCCCCCCCCCCCACACACACACTGCACACAGAGCAGACTACTGATGCTGCTGTGGCAGTCATCATTACAGCCAGCCATTCTTGTAGGTGAAAGGAAAAAAAACTGGACAAGACATGAATAGCTGGGTAGAATCAATATGGCTGAACATTGCCACCTGTATATGTACCGTCCTCCTCCTTTTTTTTATTACCCGATTAATTTTTGCTTTTTTTTTTTTTTTTTTTTTTTTTTTTTTTTTCTTCTCCTTATGTTTGGTTAGCATTGTGAACTTTGTACACAGATTCATCTTTCTATGAATTGATCCCTTTTAGATGGACTATAAATTGGTTTAAAAAAAAAAAAATGGTGATAACCTCACATTGTCATATTTTTTCTTTTCTCTGCTTCAGTAATCCTTGTGTATGACCTAAGAACTGTAATTAGTTTTTGGATTAGAATTGAAACCTTATGAATGCTTGTTCACTTTAATTCAGAAATTGACTGCTACATATCTTGTTCAATGGAGGTGTAACAAGTACTGTTGCCAAATGAAAGAGGAATTCTTTTAATTAAACTTATGATTAAATTGTTTGCTTATCCAGATATTCAGGTGCTGCATGAAGTTTAATTTTTATAGATCCTGTTAAATTTCTATAGTACCATTTCAATATTAGACAAATGTAGAATAAAATTGCTTTTTATATGAAAATACAAGTTCATTGGACAAATTTGTCTAGTTTCCTATAATAATTGGATACTACTTATTAAAACCATTTGCCTTTTTGGAATGGTGATCGTAATTCTTGATTTAAATATCCTTTTTCTAAAGTGAAATTTATGTTAACATAAAAAGGCTGTAACTCTTCATCAGTTGTATATTACATGAACTTGTGTGTATTTAAAATTTTTCCAATAAAAAAAATTCTAGTCATTTTCTTAGTCTTTTGAAAATCATTACTGTGTAGGACTCTTTGGAGTAATTCCATATTACCAAGTGGGATTAGTTCCATGAAGACATTAAATTTGTTTTTCATGTCAATGTTTTGTATTACATTTTAATTTATTTCTTATTTTCTTGTAATTGTTTAATACCTTGCCAACTTTGAATAGTAAATGTTTACAAACTTGGCTTATGTCCTTATACCTTTGTCTGGCAGAAGGTCACAATAGTAGAGCACTGTAAATGGGCCCCTTGATAAGGAATGATGTACAAATCTTGCCAAAGGCTTCCAGCCTCTGCTTCCAACTTAATGACTTTGTACTGTCATTTTGATAGTTTTGTTTAACACAATTTAAATGAAAATTGCCCCCCCTTAAGTATTTTAATTTTTTCTTTCTATATCTAGGTTGAAAGTGCTGCAAATGTTGAAAGTATTTCAAAGAAATCTCAGGAACCCTCCTCAAAATATCTCAAAGACCGTGACACTTGCTTGGCATACTTTGAACAGTGGTGTGAGTATGATCAAGTGGAGTTTGTCCAGCTACTTTTCTCACGGATGTGCCACTACCAACATGGACAAATCAACACATTCCTTAAACCAATGCTTCAAAGAGACTTCATTTCGGGATTACCTGGTAAGCTTTCTTTGCATTTATTTCTGAGAAAACTGCAAGAAAAATGCTTCTGTTCATGAATCCTGACAAGCATAAAATTTGCAACAAATCTTAAATATCAGTGGAAAATTTCTTCTAGAAATTGTAAGGTACCCCCTCCCTCTTTTAAAAGGTCTTATTAATGTATCAAATGTTAAGTTTTACTAATGAGTTGCATGAATTGCTGGAAATAATTATTTATAAATTCTGAAGAATGGTAGTAAAGTAAAACTGAATGACATTCATTTCTATTTCAGAACTATTCCTTATATATATATATATATATATATAAAATTGATTTAAATTTTTTTTTTTTTTTTTTTTTTTTTTTTTTCCTTTTATAACCATGTTTCAAAAATGGAAGCTGAAAACTTTAAATTTAATTATATAATTAAATTAAAAGCCTTAGTTCCGTTTCATCTTCAAATGAATATTGGAATAACTTATTTTTAAATTTACCGAGATATATATTTCTCTTCTATGCTCTTCAGATAATTCTATAAAATTTCAAACTGTACCAATGATTTTCCTAATAGATTACCTTATTTAGCTTATTTTAAGTACAGAATTGATGTTTGTAGACAAGTTTGAACCCATACTCATTAAATGGTTTTTTATCTCATTTGTTGCAATTGGATTTTGAAGAAATAGAATCCATCCTAATAGACTTCCTGATATTTCAAAATTACATTTGATGCAGCGAATATCAAATCTTTATCCACGTTCCTGATTGTTACAATTAAAAATGTGGCATTTATCATAAATTACATGAAATTCTAATATGAAAAATCAATCCAATACAGCCCTTAAGATTTGTATTGATAAATAAACCTTGAATTGTGTGGTTAGACATAAAGATTTAAATTCTTTCATTAGTCTTGTATTCATGCATGTTTTGTATTAAATAAGTATACTTCTATAATATAAAAATAAGTGGTGTCTCCCCCCCCCCCCAAAAAAAAAGCTTTGTATAAATGTTTTCAAAGTATGACTTGATTACCTTGACAACTTTTTTTCTTCTACCAGGGAAGGGACTTGATCACATTGCTGAAAATATCTTAACTTACTTGGATGCTAAAAGTCTATGTTCAGCTGAACTTGTTTGTAAAGAATGGTACAGAGTTATATCGGAAGGAATGTTATGGAAGAAATTGATAGAAAGAATGGTTCGGACTGATACACTCTGGAGAGGATTGGCAGAAAGACGAGGCTGGTAAGAACCTTTTTAATATTGTTGCTAATGAACTTGTAGGATACTCTCCTTCCATAATATATATGGATAATTTATCTTTTCAATTCTCTTGAATGTCTTGGCTACATGGGAGTAGTTCCTGTTTTATATAAAGAGTTTAATAGTCTTTCCACTTTCAACATTTTTGACTTGCTACTGAAAAGAACTAGAAACTGTAGATGGTATTGTTCTATGGGTACCCATGTAGAAAGGTGGCTCCATCTTGTTTGATGGACTGGTTTGATGGTTCTTTTTGAAGTTCAGTCTTTTAAGTGGCATCCACTTTGACTGAAGGGAAATGGTAGTAAAGGATACATTTGGGGAGTCTTGGAGATAGTGACAAGCGGAAATAGGGTGCTTGTGTATAGTCATACTTAGGATTGGAGTCTTGGACTGACATATCTAACAAACAGTTCCAAAGCCTCCATTTGTATTGCAGTCAACATTTTGGGATGAGAAGTCTGTAGAAAGAAAAATTGATATAAAAGTTGTCCCAAGTATCACCTACCAACCTACCCACCCAAGCAAGTGAAATACTGAATAAGCCATCCGCATATATGGGGGAAATGGGGTATGTGTTCTTATTCCTTGATATGACACAGGTCTTTTATGAAAATGTAGCGTGCTTTTTCCCACCTTTTGGTGTACAGATATTGGGGAATTAAAATGCAGCATGGAGTAATCATTGACTGGTTGGTGGAAAGCTTGTGCAACAGTTGCTTTGCATATTCAGTGTTTCCACCAAGCTTGATTGATTTTTTTTTTTTTTTTTTTTTTTTTTTATAACAATATATCAACTCATTATAGGTCATTTAATGCTGAAATTTAATTTTCTTGTCAGTTTGTAAATAAAAATATTCTGTTTTCACAATTGAATACCTGTAGATACTCATATCACCACCTCTAGTAATTATGTCTATACAAACATTTATATGCACAAAAGTTGAGTATGTTGTGGTTTTGTTGAAGTTATATTTTAGAATACAGTTTGATTTAAGAAATTACATGGATTAATGTTATAAAAGTTCATGTTGTTGGTTTGGTAGTATTTTAAATGAATTTCGGTGAAGTTGCTATAATTCTTTAGTATGTGTATTGTTGGTAATTTTTTTATATAAAAATGTATTGATGGAACTTTTATACTTTCATGGTGTTTTTTTTGGGGGGGTACCATTTGCCTATAGCTGGGACTCTAACAGGTGCTACCATCTTGGATGGGGGGGGGTGTCTTGCTACCAGATGTAACTTATTGTCATGCCCAGAACTATTTTCACCAGCTGCCAATTTAAATATATCTGGAAGACTTAGTCATGAATTTGATTAGTTCTCAGAGTAATCTTAAGTGTTTGAGGCAAATCGATAAATAAGAATCTCTAACTTCATTATTAGAAGAATAAAAAAATCTCTTAAGGATAAATATTTTATACTATTATATAACCTAAATATTCAATGTATTTAAATTTTCTTCAGTGGCAACAATCCTTATAAAGCCATGATCTTGGATTGAATCTTCAACTTCTTTGATATATTTGTTCATATGTTGTTATGGCAGCTCCAGTTAAGATATATGATTGTTTACAAAATCTAAAGGTTATGAATTATGTAAGGTTGAAAGCCACATAATATTTGTTTTTTTTTTTTTTTTTTTTTTTTTTATCCTTGAAGCTGCCCTTTGGAGGACTTTACCTTCAGCATCCTAATGTATGTAAAAATTATAAGAATTTAGAAATAATAAAATTATCAAATTATCTTTTTATTTGACATCTTAATTCAGCATAATCTTTCCTTAGATATGCAATCAATCTCCATAGTTTACACTTATTTTGCGTGAAATTTTTTATCTTTAAAAAATCACCATTCTTTATGATCCCTTCATATAGTCACTCTAAGACATTAGGGTACACAAACTGTAATATCTTGAATAAGTCAGTTTGTGTGCTAGAAAAATGAAGACCTGAGCAATGTACAATTCCTTCCTTAAGTTTTAACTATGGTTTAATTAGACTATATCAATTGCAATTGTGATGAAAAGCGAAATTAAATCTTTGAAAGAATTCTTAACTTTTCACACTGTTAGTTAATTAAGTTTAACTTTAAATGAGTTATTTGTGTAACTACGGTAGTTAATAACTGTTATTTCAGGTTGTTTGATTTACTGAGATCGAAAAATGGACAGACATGCATACACTACACTTTATTTATATAGATAGTTTTAAAATTCTGTTTGTTTTTTTTTGTTTTTTTTTTTCCTGGAACACAATAGGCTCTTTCCTTATAAAAACAAATTCCATTGGAACAATGCTAAGTGTGTGACTGGCTTAAAAAAATAACTGGATTAAAATGAAAAATAAAACTTTTAGTGTACTCTTGAATCCATGATTAATTAAAAAAAAAAAAAAAATCCTTAATTTGTCATTACAAAAAAATTTTTTTGTATTGTAGCAGTAGTACTAAATTTTATTTTATTTTACTTCTACATTGTTTTTATACAGATTTTTTTTTTTTTTTTTTTTTTTTTTTTATATTTCAATTCATTATTTAAAAAGATTAAGTTTACTTATGTAAATTTAATAAGATTTTGGAACCATGAAAACTTGGCAGTAGAAAATTTGTTTCCAATTAAGGGTAAAGACAGCATAAAAATTGATTGATAGACTGCACGCACTCTATAGCGCAACAGATGTGATGCATATATTAAATTTTTACATATATTTAATGATTTTGGGGGAGGCATGATCTGTGGAAAAATGTTAAAATATCATTCCCAATTTTGATTTGTGGAATTATTTTGATAAAATAACTGTATATTTAATTATTGACATATGTTCATGGCTTGAAGATTGTGTTGCAGCCTGAAATACTATTTCTGCTTGTGATGACCTCTGTATCCACTTTCATATTTACATAGGCTCTCTGATATTATGCACTTCTGCACATAAATATAGCATTTTGAAACTATTTTTATTTTATTTCTGAACCAAAAATGGCATCTGACATAGTGTGTAAAGCACAAGTATTGTTGAATTCTTCCATGCAGAAGTGGGTCAGAATTGTACCAATGGATAGTTATCGATCCTTGTAAAACATTTACAGAAATTAGTGAATGTAGGTACTACTAAAACAGCAGTGGTGACATTGGTGTGTAGCAGTCCTTGTTCAGACTGATACAGGGACTGTGCTAACATTTTCCTAATATCACCACTGCTATGGAGAAATAGTTTTGTTAAAAGAATAAAACTAAGGAAAAAGAATACCAAGGTAATGCCTAAACTACAATACAGCTCTCTTGAATGCTTCAACTTACAAGCAGATGTGTGCTGGTAGTTAAAAGCAAATAATTTGGGAATTCAATATGGAGCACATTAAGAGAATCTCTTGTGACATTGGCAAACAAGATTTTTTTTTTTTTTTTTTTTTTTTCCTCAAGATGAGGGGAGTAAGTGGCATGAAATTCTTAAAATTATGAAAAAGATAGCAAATCATTCCAAGGAAAGGTACAGGATATTAACATTAAGCAGAAGCCTCAGGAACAAATGCAGGAAGGCAAGAGGAATGCTTTTCATGAAAAGTGTGCAGAAATAGAATAAGGGTCATAGGTATGATGAGTATGTATAAAAAGAAATAACGGGACAAAATACCTGTTCCTCAACAGGATGCATAAAATCAAGTGAGACCGTTCATAATCTGAAAAAATGCTTCAGGGATAGAATGAATATATTGGAAAACCTTTTCATGCCAACACAAGGCATGAATATAGAAAGGCCAGAAATATTAAAGTTTGAGGTAAGGTCAGCACTGGACAAGATGAACAGGAATAAGGCAGCAACACCAGATGGGATGGTAAATTGATGCTATTTTGGCATTGACAAGATTACAAAAATGACAATAGTGACATAGTGGAAAATTTTTAGGTCCATTTCTGTGGTGCTGCCTAAGGAGCCAGGTATAAATGAGAGCTCTATTGGACACTCAGTTTAATGAGCCATTAAACTAAGTTCATCTGAATTCTGATGAATAGGAGTTAGACTAGAAATAGGACCAGAACAGTAATAAATACTAGAAATTCAGTATTTATAAAAATGATGATCTGAGAACAGTACAAATCCAAAACTATAGAATGTTAAAAAAAAATTGAGGTGTAACACAGATTTAATTAGGACATCTAAGAAAACTTAGGAAATGTAGCCCTAAGTTGATCCTGGTCAACAGCAATTAGTAATGTAACTCTCCTGTATTGGTCTTCCTTCAGACCACTGTGGTTACCATCTAGCTGACTCCTTACTAATTAATGCATTGCTGGTATCATGTTGATGGGCATGGTTCTACTTGATCTAGCTGGTTTTTGTCTGCTTCAAAATCCTTCATTCTATGTTGTTCTTGATCTCAGAGGGTGAGAGAATCACTGAAATAAACTGAATCAAAGGGCAGGTCAATGGCAAGGAACTACATAAAAAATTTTGGAATAATAATAAAAAAAAAAAAAAACTTTGGTTAAAAATGTAACAATTTGGTTTATATATGAATTGTTGTATACCCCCTTATTGTCCTTAACTAAATGACACTAGGATCCACTTTGGAGTTTACAACTTGTGTTAGTTTGTAACTTAAGTTTTTAAGTTCTGGTCTTAAGGGCCAGTACGTAGTCTTGATCTGGAAGTCTTGGCAAACAATGTCGATTCCAGTAGTAGTAATGTGGGGACTCTTCAAGTTGTCCAAACCTTCAGCTTATATGAAGTCCTGTGTCTGGAAGGAGTGGGGTTGACCAGGGTTTGGTTATCTTCTACCCTTTTTTTCTAAAATTCCATATTCTCAAAATATTATTTTTTTTTTTTTCTCCTCTACAAATTTGGGGTTGTCCAGCACCCCCTTTTGAGATTGGTCAGAGGAATCAAGCCACCCTTTAACTCTAGCTCCCTTCATGTCTCCTCTCCCTTCATATAGGCAGTGCTAATCTTGCTTACTTGTTTGCTTGTCACACTGTCCCAGTGACTAATCCACTTTTAGAATGATTAGGCAAAAAGGGATTTTCATTCATTAATTTTTATCAGCTTGTCTCATGCTGGTTGTTTCTTGATTGACCAAACTACTCGGTCAGCTGCCTATGGTCACTCCAGGGGCTAATAATTAATTTTTCTTTATCACTTGTATTCCAAGGAATTCAAATTAATGTTGGACATAAAATTTTTGACAAATTAAAATGACCAAACCCATTGAGCTAATCTCTCTCTTTGTAGGGACACTTTTCTTCTGGGTGGTAGATTCAAACCAGATGTTTTTCCTGGCTTTTTGTCCAGAACGATCTTTAAATGTTATTTTGGTGACCACTTGGGTTTTTTTATTGACATGTTTTTCTATTTGACCTCTTCAAAGATACATTAATGGTCTCGTATCAGCAGGAAGTGGGGGAAGGAAGGGGTAGTCTTGGCTTTGCACAATCTTACTGAATTCCGTTTAATTAAATTTGGGTTTGATTTTCCTTGGAACTACTGTTCAGGAGTCCATTTATTTTGAAGCATGATTTTTTTCAATGTATTTCATTTTTAATTTTAATTTTCAATCTCTGTTCCTGCAAATTTCAATTATCATCCACTTAGACTCTTTCCTCTTTCTGCTTCCCTTTTTTTTTTTTTTTTTTTTTTTTTTTTGTTTAACCCCCTTGAGGTCCAAGTGTCACATCAAGACATTAGAATAATCCAAAATATATACTGTATGCAGATAGAAAGTAGTTTAGGACAAGGATGTTTTCTAATAGGGCTAATTTAAGCTTTACAATAAGGTAATCCTAAGAAAACTGGAAGTCCTACTGTGATTTATCATTGAACACAATGTTTACCAGTATAAGACGTACAGATGACACCTTGTTAGACAAAGAAAACTGCAGGAACTCTGAGACGAGTCTTTTCTTCCACTTTTCTTTAGTATCAATTGAAAAATGGAATGAAGCAAGGACAGATCAATCTAGCTCTATATTGTAGATGTCAAAATCGAGCTAGTATAAAATTTGGAATCCCCTCCCCCTATAGCAGTGGACAGAAAATGTTACTCCAAAATTCAAAGGTACATTGGAATAGTAAATGAGCCTTTCCAAGTATTAAGAAATAGGAAAGTTTCATTTGAAACGGTGCTCAACTGTTATATCATCACTCCTCCCATATGGCAGTTTTTTTTTACAGATAAAGTGCAGATCTTGAGGCAACATATGTGGTTTTTACAGAAGAATACTGAGAATACCATGTAGTTTTAAGGAAAATGGAATAAAAATGACTACAATTATTCCTAAAATCAAATTTAAATTTTTTAGTATGCATAATGAGGAAAACCTTAAAGAATTTGACAAAGAGGACAGGGAGAAATAGAAAATAACTACAAATTTATGTAAATGTATGTCAGATTGGAGAAAGATAATAAAAAAGCAAGCATTGCTAAGATTGACAAAGAATAAGAAATTGTAGAAAGCCATTATTCCTCCCCTTACAATGTCCTGAAGTGACACAGCATATATAAAATTAAAAGCTCTCTATCTAATGGTGTTATTGTGCTTCCTGTATTCTATTTTGTGGTGATAAGAGGATATATACTTTTGATATAGTTCAAGAATTGTTAGTCTTTTTAAATTCCACTGAATCATAGCATAATTCTTAACAAGTAAAATCCAGATTTTTGGATGTCTTCAAATCTTCATCTGTCACTGAAATTGACAGTATTTTCAAGTTTTAAAAAAAAAACGTTGAGTACTTTGCATTCAGTATTCATCTCTCATCGTTCATTTGCGTTCTTTTCTTTCAGGCACCTGATGTTTTTCAGCCTCTACCTCTTCCTGTGTATGTTTGGTACTGATCTAAAATTGAATACTTATTACAGCAATGAACTTTCAATTTTGGCTGTAGTGGTGAAAGATGGCTAATTATCAAGGGGTCTTACTTTTGAAACTTGAATGATCTCTTCTACTTCTGGGTCTAATTTAGCCTTTTGTAACATTTTGTTAAATACTGACTAAGCATTTTAAATAAAAAAAAAATGTAAAACTATCAAACTGTATAAGCCTACTGTTTCATGAAGCTTTAAATAGCTTTTATGTGATTTAGCTACTAAATATAAGATTCTTATTGAATAACCTTTTTACAGTTCTGATCTGTGTATTGCATTCCTGTATATAGCTTGTGGGAATTTTAAAATCTGTCTATAATGTACACTATAGTTTACACTTCCAGCCAAGTGACTTCCTACATGTTTTGAATGTTTATTTACTTTGTATTTTCACTTGAAAATGTTTCAGGGTCCAGGATCTCTTTAGACCAAAATATGGTGATGCACCAAAAGACCACAAATTTTACAGATCATTGTATCCACAAATAATACAAGATATAGAGGTAAGTTCTGCAAGTTTCAGGCATCATAAATCTGAATAAATACAAAAAAAACCTTTTTGCTCAATTGGCGGCATGGAGTCTCCTAAAATGTTTTCATTACCAACAATCACTAAATATCTTGCTTGAAAGATAATCTATATTGTAAACCTTATTTTGTCCAATGTATTTTGTAATAGTAAGATTATACATGTATATTCATAAAGCTTATGAATATACTTTTATAATCTTATTCTATTGTTGAAACGTTTTTGTGCTGAATAGTAATCTGTTGGATATGTCTAAAAACTTAATGTTTATTCCAAAATGTTTTAAAAATATTATTTTCCAGTAGATAGTAAGGTAGCATTTAATGCTAACCAGAGATATTGACAATTTCTTAATTTGTGGGATCTAAACTATATCTTTTGCTCATAAAAATATAATTAGCACTTTTTTTTTTTTTTTTTTTTTTTTTTTATGGAGATGTAATAGGATTTAATAATGTACTGTGACATTGGAATGGAGTCATGACTTTTTTTTCTCTCCCACAAAAATGGTAAGCTCCCTTGTTCATCTGATTGCAACAGTGTGTGACATAACTGATGGTCTGGCAACTTGTTTACTGATAGTTGGAGTGTTCTCAATTCATAAGGCAACTACAGGTGTTGCCATTCAAACACCAATGAGGAATTGTAGGTTATTTTGTTTATATTTAACCCAAATATTTACTGTAAATGTCTATTGGTTATGCAAAGGATGTGACTTCTGCCAATTTATCTTAGAAAAAAAAAATCAATTACTAGTGAAAGATACTAAGAAAACTTGTGGAAATATTTGGAAATCTCTCCTAAAGAGATAATTAGAAAAATGTAACTTACAATCTTTGAATGACTGGATTTAAAAGTTTTTTCTTTTTTCTTATTATAGAAACTTGTAGTTTTGATGTAATTTAAAATGTAGTAGATGGGTGCTCATTGGCTCTTGTGAAAATTTACATTTTTTTTCTAGACAAATTTAATGTTTACACTTGGAACTTACTAAACAGTGAAAGAAGAGTTCAAAAAAAATATACATTCCTGTATATGGTTTTCTTAGTATGTTATATTTATAGGTAAGTGCTCAATATTGGGAATAGAGCAGATGGTATAAAAATTATGATCTAACATGAAGGATGACCACTGCTCAATGTTGACATCACACTCATACTACGAGGACAAATAAAATTTAAAAGACAATTTTTTTTTTTTTTTTTTTTTTTTTTTTTATCATTTTGTGCAAATAAATTTTCAGTTCGGACTTGGTAACAATGTTTGTGGTATATCACTTTATTTCCTGGTATGCTTGAATGTTTTTGTTTCTTCACTACATTTTAGTTCCCAGTGAAAACAAATTGTTAGTCATCACTTGTTAAATATTTGCTTTCCTGCATTTATCTTTGGCAGATTTTATTAAAACTCTTATCTACAGGTAGAATCGTGTGCTTCACTTGAAATGGCAATCTTACTAAAATGTTAGGATACTGCAGTAATATTTAGTTTTGATTGCTAATTGTTAATGAAATAACAAATCTATTGAGCCCTCACCCAGCATATCTGAAGGAAAAGGCCTTTTCCAATTCCTTTTGACTGCTACTCTGTTATGTCTTACTAGAAAACCCATATCCTCTCTCCATCTCTGGTTTCTTCCTACTGTGTTTTGCTATCAAGTAGCCAATGACAGTTCTTTTTTTGTTACTGTTAAAGAGAAATGGAAATGCTTAATCTTGGCTTGTTCCAATCCATGTAAATTGCTTTCTCTCTTTAGCATTGTACCTCTTGTTGATCTCTTGAGTTTTTCAAGTGACTTGTCCATGTATAGCATCTGTATATCAGAGCTGGTCTTGTACATTGGCATTTTAAGCATATTAGCAATGTGTTGTTTTTTTTTTTTTTTTTTTTTCCTCCTTTTTCTTTCTAAACCATTCTCCCACTTATCCTTTTATCAGCTGTCTTTAGTATCTATTGGGCTTCTTTCAGCAATTCTATTATCTTTTCTTTCAGTGTTACAATTAAACCTTTGTCTTTCTTTGCCTTAAGACCTACCTTGAAACTCCTTCCTATTTAAATGATTCAGCACTTGTTTTAATTCAGCCTTTTTTTTTTCTCCCTGTGTGTAAAATGTTGGATCGCGGATGATTTAAACATTCACTTTCATTACAACTGTCCCTTCAGTTTCTTTTCTGCAACATACTTCCAAGGTCTGTTGTAAAAGCGTAATTGTATTTCCTTGCTTCACTCCTTTTCCAATCTTTATTTTATTTGTCTAGTACAACTATTACACTATTATTTTCCATATTCTCAATAACATTTATATAATCTTTTCTTGGAGTGATTGCTTTAGTCACTGATAGTATATGGAGGCTCTAATCTGCATAGACCACAGGGTTGGTCTTGCTGCCATGTCGCCTCCCATATATCATTGATGTTACTCCACTCTCACTACCAAAGGACTGAACTTTGACCAAACATGATTCTACCATTCTTTCACAAGATAAACAGATGTATACAATTAGTGATTCAACAATTTTGTTGAAGCCTGTCGAGGAAATATTCATGTTGGGGATAATGACTGACAGGGGGGTTAAGGTGAACCATATCCAGCCATAAAGGCCTCCCAATAAAATTTATAGGCAACAGCAAAATGTTTAAGACAAGGACTCCTGGAAATAATTCGAACATGCTTAAATTGTTTACCAGATATTCTTATTGAATGTTCTTTAGCTTCTCACAGGCAGATTATTTTGAACTTGTGGAGGGAAAAGCAAAGGTACTTGACAACTTAAACCCGAATGTTTTCAATTAAAGATATGCTTTCGGACAATAAAAATCTTATGTATTAACTTTAATGGTAGTATTTCAATTTATGCAGGTGTCGAAATGAGAATTTATCTTGGTCAGAATACTTTATAAAGCTAACAAAGTTCTTTGTAAATTATTATTGCTGGTATGGCTTTGTATAGCCAGAGGTAAAAATGGTAACAAATTTAATGTTGGCAAGAACACTGAAGCTTGGCTACTTTGACCTTTTCAATCTCCTTCTTTCATCATGTATGGCTTATGCTTAAAATTGAAATAATTATTTTCAGTTCTGTTATTTCCTCAAACCATTACATTAAGTTCCACTTATGACATCTTGGGACACTTTGAAATTTCTTTATAAAGAAAACCATTCAACTAAAATATCTTTTTGTGCTTCTTTCATATTCTTGTGATATAAAAATATAAATCCTAGTATAAATGTTGTTGGGTCAAATGTTTGTATTTTAATTTTCAGGTAGATTGCGCTTCATCACAACCTCTCTTCTTGAAGGAAATGTTTTTTTTTTTTTGTTTGTTTTTTCTGTAAACCGTTATACAGACTTGGTCAGTTCTTTGACGTCACTTGCATTAGCTTTATAAAAGAAGCATAAGTAATGAAAAGATTTAAGTAGCAAGAATAATTTTGACATGTTTGCTGTTAGCATTGAGGATTGCTACAATGTAAGGTCTGAAACCTTGGCATGCCCAAATCAAATGATCTTTATCTATTTTGGACATTGTCAGAGTTATGGTGGATTTCAGATTTTATAAGTGTTATGGGGGCTGTTCACTTTTATTTTTTTTCTTGATTAAGGCATCCATATATAGTACTTCAATGGATTCATATATGAAGTGTAGGAGTCCATATATTTGGTGTGACATGATAGTGGAGATTGTAACATTCATGGGTTGTCTTGCCCTGATGAAATGGTGCTGTGTCTGCTGGTAGGTGTGTGGTTTTCCTTTGCTCATGCTCTCTATCCAACCCTCTCAACACTTCCTTATAGTCAACAGAATTGATCTTTAAGCTTTGTGAGGAGGCATTACCTCTCTCTTGTTGCTTACTGCTCTGAGAATCATTAAATACCAGAAAATTTGTGTGTATGACCATTGGCACATCCATAGTCTTGGCACAATCTGTTATTCCTTTGGCTGATCTTTTGGGCCCAATCGAAGATTTTTGAGAGAAAATGAATTCCAGGCTCTTGATGTTTCAACTGTGCATGATAGAACTGTTATTTTGTCTTTGTAGACCTGAATTGGCCTCTCTGCATCACACAACTCTTATCAAAGGTTCTCGTGCACAATCCGGATAGTATCTTAAAACCTTGATCTCTTTAGCCATGGCATTGACTTTCTGGGATTCTTATTGATAATTTTCTGCACCTTTTGTGAAAATGTTTGTTTTTTTTTATTTATTTTTTTTTTCTCCATTAATTGTATTAGAACCATTTATCAGGCATTTTGCATTTGACTCTTGCTGTAGAATCCATTGACAGTTTCCAGCCATTTGCAAACAAGCAACCATGAAACTTTCATGAAGCAAGCAATCAGTCTCTAAATCACTATGCTCTGCCTTTAAGGCAATAATTACTGCATACCTTTTTCAGTTTCAAACTTGATTGACATCATTTATCTGAAAAAGAAAAAAAGTTACAGCTATTAAATGCCATCAAAGAACTGAGTAACCCTGTGAATGGTTTTGTTCAAAAACTGATTATTTCTTTCCTAGTTACTTGATATTGCTTTTTTTTTTTTTTTTTTTTTTTTTCGTCCTCTAAATTTATATGGAACTCTTGAGATCTAGAATCTTTTACATGAACTTATTTATGAAATTATTTTTAATTTGCAGAGGATAGAGAACAATTGGAGGACAGGTCAGCACACATTACAGAGAATCCACTGTAGAAGTGAGACTAGCAAAGGAGTTTACTGCCTTCAATATGATGACGAGAAGATAGTTAGTGGCTTAAGAGATAACACAATTAAAGTAAGTAAAACCTAAAAATAAACTTGTGGCGTTTGATTCTACTTAGCAAAAAATATCTTTCTCTAACCACTGTTAAGATAATTTTAAAATCTGCTTCCATGCTAGATTATTGTGAGGATTGCAACTTCATGGAAGTGGTTACTTCCCTTTGCCAGGATTGGCAACTATTTGATAAGACTAGATTTTTAAAATTGAAAACTTGAAGCATTAATATGACTGAAATACTTAAACTTGCATGCATTTTCGTGTTAAATTTTTTTTAACCATCAACTGATAGCCTTAGATATAGTAAAACAACTGGAATGATTGTATTAGCAAGCTTTATCATACACTAGCAGGCTTCACCCACTTGCTATCACTTTGCAAAAGATATATTTGCTACTTGAAATCTTTGAAACAAAAATTTTAAATGCCAGTTTCATTCATAAATTGGCTTGTTATAGTTGTTTAAGTTTTACAAATAGATGCCAACATGTTAAAGGCCAAGTAAAATGCAAATTTCAAACACTTCTCTACACTATATAAGGCAATATTCCTAAATGGAACTACTTATATGAAAATCAAAACAATCCTTGAATAACAGAACATTAATGAAGGACAGTTAATTAATGAAATAAACTTTTTAAAATCAGTATGCAAATTAGTTAAACCTGAAGATTCATATTGCCTAGAAGTAGATAATATCTAATACAGATATAGTGAGCTTTTAAGTACTGGTTTAGTCTGAAGTTGGACGTCCGGCTGATCTGTTGATTGGTTGAACTCTCTGCCTTTGGCGGGGAGGAACCCAATCGAGTCTACGCAGAAGGGCGGGGTCTCTTTCAGGGAGGTAAACCGACCCTGAACCCGTTTATATGGTTCAAAAGGAATATTTTTGGCTGAGCCCACGGGCTCGGAGATCCCACATTAAACCAGCCTTGTGCCACATGATGCCTTCGTGGGGGGTGGTGACTAAATACTAGTGTATAAAGTAGAGCTGGGGCTTTTTAATCTCAGAATTTGTGGGAGACTTGAGCTCCAATTTCACATTTATTCATAGATTCCATAATATAGGTTTTACTTAATGTTATGTTTCTCTAACTCTTCAAATGTTGAATGTATAACTGATTCTATTTTCCCATCTTTACACTATATTAATTTTATCTTAAATTGTCCTTCTGTTCTGTCAACCATAAAATAAAAAAAAAATAATTGTATGGAAAATAAGGATCTACATACATCAAATAGTCTTTCAATTAAGTGGCAGCAGAAGAATTATTGTACTTTTAAAAGTTAAGCTTAAACATTAATTCAATACTTAAATGCAGTGATCAATTTTGAGTTCTTCTGTAGTTTATTGATGCCTATTGCATCTACTCCTCCCTAGCTATTGTGATGATGACCAAACCAAGAGTCTTCCACAGGAGCTAGCTTAAATGCTGCCCAATAGGGCTGTTTTTAAGCTAGTTTAAATGTGCACTGCAATTTTGAATACAAAAGGAAAGTTACTCCCCTTGGACCATGAAATCAATGATAATGGCTAGTATTAATGTATATTTTTAACCTCATCTGGCAACCTTGAATCTCTCAAGGAAAATTGTTCCTTCTGCCCAATTTTTCTAGGGCTTTTGAATGAATCATTGTAATTGGACCAGTGGGAGCGGAGGAGTTGCTTGGACACACACACACACACACACACACACACACACACACACACACACACACACACACACACACACACACACAACTTAAGAAAAAAAAAACAATTTTCAATGTTTAATTTTTTGTACTTATCAAAATGACTTCTTTTGACTTTGTTAAAATTGCTCTTGCATGAAGTTTGAAGCTTCAATTTATAGATTTCTTAATTACACGTATTCATATATTTGTCTCTGTATTTATTTATTTTTTTCCCTCTCTCTCTCTCTCTCTCTCTCTCTTTTACAGATTTGGGATAAAGGTTCATTAGAATGTGTGAAAGTATTAACAGGTCATACGGGCTCAGTATTGTGTCTTCAGTATGACGATAACATAATCATATCTGGGTCCAGTGATTCCACTGTGAGGTTAGCATTTTTTTTTTCTTTATTTTATTTTAGTCTATTAATGTATTAACCTTTTTCTTTTTCTTATTTTAGGAAGCAAATCAATTGTTTTGTTTATATGAAGCTACATTCTTTGCAGTTTGTATCACTGTGTGTCCCCAAATTACTTCAAACATAAATTTTTTTATTTTTTTTTTGAGATGGACTCCCCATTTTTATTAAACAGAATATTACCTCTATTGGATTGCACATTTGAGAACTGACAATGCATTCTTTTAACATTTCTTGACTCTCTTGTGTAAGAGATATATATATATATATATATATATATATATATATATATATATATATATCTCAAATGATGCTTCCTTTTGGGGTTACAGGTTCGATTCCTGTTTACAAAATCTCTTGAATATTCAGTCTGGTAAATGTAGTTAATATCATTTATAATAACTCTCTCTCCCAGAAACTGTAACTAAGGTCTGCTCAGCATATTGTCACATGGTCAAGTGGTTGGAATGTTTGCTTTTTTTTGACTGTGACACCCTGGTTCAAATCTCACCAGGATTGATTTGTCAGGAAGGAGACTTCATGATGTTATTGGTCTGGAAGTGGCAATCCCAGCATGTGGCACCTTTTTGGAAAGTGCTTTGAGAGAAATTGGGTAGACAGAACAATCTAATTATGAAATAGAATATACTAAAAGTAAAAATGGAAATCTCAATACTTCATTTTGATTCTCTCACAGACTCCTGCATTCCATTTCTATAAAGTTACCACTCTTCATTGCTTATATTTCTTCAAGAATGGTTTTGTAATATTGGAAATTGCTAGTGAATGAATATGGATTTACTGGCTTCTCCGATATTGCATTATTACAGCAGCCAGATATATGTATGTTGAAGCAAACCATTTTATCTACAGAACTTTAATTGGGTAATATTTTGTAATGAAGATAGAAAAGTGAATTAGGGTCTTGTGGATTTTGTACACTGTCAGGTGATTTTTAGCAATAAAAGTTGAGATAAAATTGAGGTTTGGTGTATAGGTGTTGCAGGAAGCTGGTACCAACTGACCAGGTGAATTACATTGTGCACTTCTTGACAGGCTGTATAAATTGTAGCAAAGGGCAGATAATGAAACTTTGCAATTTAGTGCACAGAAATTTGGGTCTAAGCACTTCATAAATTATTTTTGATCACTGTTTTATCTTTTATTACTGATTTATGTAGGCTCACTATTTAAGCTTGTCTATTGTATAGTTTTATTTCATTTTACTTATTTGTAATGTTTGTTTTTTATTTTATTTTTTTGTGATAATAGATGATGGGTAGAACCTTTCCTATTTGGTCCTAATGCTCTTAGAACTTTTTTTTTTTTTTTTTTTTTTTTATAATATTCTGGTTTATAAAGTTATTCTCCTTTCTGTATGTCTTTAATAAAGCTTGCATCATGTATTCAGTCTAAGGCTAAACCTTCTGCCAATAACAATTTCTTAATGTGTTACAGATTGCCGCATAGTGAGTCTGGCAGAATGGGATCTTATATGAAAAAGTGTAGTTGAATTCCTTTTAAAAAAAATGCACTTGACATAATGTGATATTTGTTGGCAAACTTAATGTGAATACAAGATTTCAGTAATGTTGACAGTGTTGTGTGTGACAAGTTATGTGCACAGATGTCACCTCAAAATGAAGAACCCTTGTTCATTGCTGGGGAATGTTTTGCAGCTCAAAACCATGATCCTGTTATCTTTTGTAGTTTCCACTGGCATTTGCAGTGAAATATAAAGTTTTACTACTAGAAATGAATTTTTTTTTTTCTCTCTAAAAGAAGAAATTCCTGTTTTATTCAACATTTTAGATAAGCTGAATTATCAAGGAAGAAAATATAAAAACAAGTCTGTTAATTCTAATCTAATTAGGAATTCTAAACCATGTTTTGAAATTTTTAGTTTTTAGAGTAAAGAGAAATAATCATTTAATGCTGCCTTGTGATGTGTGTATGTTTACATGTACACGGTAATATAGTGTGACAAGATAAGATTTAACTTTTTAAATCTGCTTTATATATATATATATATATATATATATATATATATATATATATAATTTTCTCATTTCAGAGTATGGGATGTGTTAACAGGTGAGATGCTAAACACACTTATCCATCATTGTGAAGCAGTTCTTCATCTCCGGTTTAATGATGGTATCATGGTCACTTGTTCAAAGGTGAGACTCTTGTTTGATATTTTAGTAAGCATGAATGTGACAATAAGAATAACAATGTAAATTGTGTAAATAGTTACAATACCGTATCTCAGAAATAGGCATGTCTATGCAATTTGAATTGCACATGCATAGTTCCTCTTAAGAGTGTAAAGTTCATACAAGGATACAGATTTGTACTAATCTATTACATTTTTCAACAAAATCTATGGTAGTGAATAAAATTCTGTTAAATTTAAAATCCTTTCAAAATGCTTTCTTTTGATAAATGTTTGTGTGAGAAAAAACATTGTTTACCTTTTGAATATTGAAAAATTTAACATTTCTAATTGACAGTCTTAAAAGAAATTGATAGATTGCTTAGTGTTACCATGTGTAAACATCCTGGATATGATGATAAACTACATCTGGCAGCAAGGCCTCTGATTGAGAGCTTTTGATGAGCATGGGACCATCTCTTAATTGCTGTTGTTCCCAGGTCCACCTTGATCTGTGCTGGTAGCATCCGGTTAGGGTTCCAAGTTATAGGCAAATAGTTGACTCTTGCCACCCCCCTGATGTCAAAGCACTATGAAAGTATAAAAATATCAGCAATGCATTTCCATGGTTAACAAAATTACCAGTAATACATTTGTTGTAAAAGAAATTATTAATGCTCTCAGGAAAATTAAATTTCTGCATTAAATGAGCTTAAGAAATTGATATGCTGCTAAACAAACTGTAAAATCTTCAATTTCTATCTCCCTCTATTCTCAATCTGAAAAATTATGGTTCAATTTCAAATAACTATTTTATGAGGGGCTGTGCTCTGCTTGTCCGTCGTTCACTGCACCTATAATGACTTCGAAGGTTGGTTGTGTCTGCATACACGCTACTTGCTATGTTTACAGGTTTGTCTCCTTAGCCATGATCGTATTCAACCAAAAAAAAAAAAAAAATGCTCTACAAGGCTCTCTGGTTGGGGAAATAGCAATGCAAATTCTCACTTGGCTGTCTGCTTTCCTTTGGCTGAACTGTTATCTCCTTAACTTCTGCTGGTTCATTCCTCATTGGCTGCTGGGCAGCTACTCACTTAATGGTCATCTACCTATTTGCCCAAGGTCTCTGTGACTGCTGATTCTTTACTGGCTGCTGGCCCTCTTCTTGATGTCTTGCATCTCTCTGCTTATATGGATAATAGCTGGGGTCCCACCACCCCATATCCATTCTGGAACATCATTGACAAAATTTTGTTTACTAATTCAAAGGTGGCTGGAAACAAATCCTAAAAAACTGACACTTAATTTGAAATTTAAGATGGACTCTAGACAAATTTCCTAAGAAACTCTGATAATTAAGTGGACTTAAAATGAATTTATCTACTTTTCTCCTAGGGATGTATGAGAAGTCATATTGTTACACAAGTATAAACTTGCAAGTGGATGAACTGATGTTAAAACTTCATATAGCATGCATTTTTTTTGTCATCTGGATCTGCAGCCAATGATTTCCTTTTAAGAACTATTTACATATTCCTAACACCTATGCAACATCTGATAAGCTCTCTGCAAATACCTATTTAATTAGGTTATGAACTGTTTTTTTTTTTTTTTTTTTTGTTTATTTTTTTAAATAAATTGGTATACTTTCTCACAGCATCCTGCAAACATACATTTTTTTTTTTTTTTTTCTTTCTTTCTTTTTCACTTAAGGATCGATCAATTGCAGTCTGGGACATGAACTCTCCTTCTGATATTAACTTACGAAGAGTTCTTGTTGGCCACCGGGCTGCTGTCAATGTTGTGGACTTTGATGAAAAATACATTGTTTCTGCCTCCGGTGATCGTACCATAAAGGTTAGTACATCTTGAACTGATCCCCACTGATGTAGGAAACTTTGTTTTTTTTTTTTTTTTTTTTTTTTCTCTCTCCCAAAATACTTTGTCCTATTATTCAAGTAAGCAGAAAATTACTCATTGGTCAGGCTTATTCCAATCTGAAATATGCTGAGAATTAAAATTTACAATTTGTGGGAAGCTGAAATGTTAGATGCTTTGGGGGCCAGATTATTTTTTTTTTTTTTTTTTTTTTTAATTTTATCAGATTTGTATATAAATATATAATCATTGGTCTTGCATAAAAGTTTGTCAAAATTAAAAGGTTAGGAATCCCTATTGAGCAATCTCTTAAATCATTTCTTTTATTTGGGCAAAAGAGCAAAACCTAAAATGTGGCAGTTAATGATTGCTACTTGTCAATATATATGAAATTGATTGAAATGCTCTTTTTATCAAATTAAAAAATTTTTTTTATAGGCTGTTTATAAACTTTTTGTGTTTATTCTTGGACTTAGTTGCCTCTCTTAGTTTTGTGAAAAGTTTCATGTTTTAGATTGGTACTTTCACCTAAAACACGGTACCGTTTTAAAATGAAATTTTTAAATGAAGTCTTAAAGCTTTTATTTTAGTTTTAATTTAAAGCTAATCAATTAAATATTTTCCAATAAGCAACATTTTAAATTTACTGAAAGCTTTCTTTTTTTTTTTTTTTTTTTTTTTTATAGGTAGTAGTAATATTTCATCACAATGTAATTCTCTTAAAATATCTTCTAAAAATACACTTCTGAAAGTTATGGGAATATTAGCTGATTTAAAGTCAAATTTTTCTGATTTGAAACGATATAATTTTTTTTTTTTTTTTTTTTTTTTTAGTACTCTGTAATCTTAAAAAATTTAACTATTCCCTGTAATCTGTGTCATCAGATTCAATAGGCATCACTTTTTTACTGTGTATGAACATCCATATTTACAAAAACTGGCACATTTATACACATACAAAAATTTTTTTAATTTTTTTTAAAATATTGGTGTTTGATTTGTACTACAATTTTCCATATGATCAGTAAATATAGTTTTCACTTAATATCTAAAAGGGTGAAATTAATACAGAATTTTAAGATTTTAAAAATTAATAAATTTATAATTAAAATTTAAAAAAAAATTAAAACAATTCTTGTAGAAATCCATAAAATCTTTTCTTGAAACAATAGGTTCCTTAATATCTGATTTATAAAAGCAATTAAAAGCTTTTCTAATTAATGTCAATTTTATTGCATTTTAAGATTCAGAGCAGATTTTTCATAAATGGTGTCTTTGACCAGAAGGTACCTAGTTTTGTGTACTTATTTCTATTCATCTAAATATGCTTAATGAAATTGAATTCAATAAATTTTTCATCTTTATAAATACTGGTATATAAAATTTAAAATAATTCTTGACTTAAACTTTGACGTTCTCTATAATGTAATAAATTTATACTTTTTATTGCTTTTCACAAGCATAACATTTGCAAACAGTTATTTGCTAATGAATTAAGCAATGATCAGCTGTTTTCAATTCTCTTCAGGTTTGGAGTACTTCTTCCTGTGAATTTGTTCGCACACTAAATGGGCACAAGCGAGGTATTGCCTGCTTGCAGTACAGGGATCGTCTTGTTGTCAGTGGCAGCTCGGATAACTCTATCAGGTTTGCCCACTCCCCCTTTCTTTTTCTGTTTTTTTTTTTTTTTTTTTTCTTATATGTACACATTTCATATTAACAAGTGCAAATATACTGTACCATATGTTGATACAAGCAAGAACATTGTTGCTTATAAAAGGAACATTTTACTGCATCCATTTTTATGTGCAGTATTGCTACTGCTGCTCTAGTTGCTTCATTGCCAGAATGTGGCACTGTTATATATATATATATATATATATATATATATATATTTTTTTTTTTTTTTTTTTTTTTTGCTGCAGTTACTTTCAAAATCTTGGGAAGCTGGTAGATTAGTTGGTAGGTGAATATTAAGGGACTTGCTGCCAAGCATAGCTTTAAAATCTTAAGTTGTCTGCTTTTTTTTTTTTTTTTTTTTTTTTTTTCAATTATATAGATATCTCTGATTTTAGAAGTTGTTAATTAGGTGTTTGTTCTTCATTTATATCTTGTGATTAGGTCTTAACATATGCTTAAAAGAATGCTGGATATTTGTCAAAGATTCTGCTATTATCACAGGACCTTCATCTGAACTGTTCAAATAAATATTCTACAGATGAATACTTTTACAGGATTTGTGTGTCAAGTCTGAGAAATACTATTTTACATTGACAAGTCAGTAATGTAAGTAGGCTAAATGCTATACTGCCTACAGGTAGACCAAACTATATAAAAGGTACTGATTTATTAAGAGTTAAGCAAAATTACTTGCTCATGCTTTAAGGCACGTGGATTCTTTCTCACTTCAATATTACTGGCATCAGGATCTATTTCTTGTCAGCAATCTTAAATTCTAAAAAAAAAATGCTGTTAGATATTTCATTTTCTGGACTTTATTGTTCTTTCATAAATTTATGAGTTGATGTTTTTAAACATCAGCTAAATCTATACAACAATCTCTGAGCTTTTCTAACTCCATGGAAAACTTCTGTCCTGGGTATGACGATAAACTGCGTCCAGCAGTAAGGCCTCTGATCAGGAGGTTTTGAGTGTGGAACTGCCTCTTAGTTGTTGTTCCTGGGTCCACCCTGAACCAGGGTGGTAGCACCTGTTAGGGTCCCAGCTATGGGTAAATAGTTCCCCACCCCTTGATCTGGAGTCAGAATGCTAGGAAAGTGTAAGAATGGGTTTTTTGTAATACCATCAACACAAGTTGCAGTATATAAAATGCGCATTCAAAAAACCGATTTCAAAAAGCTAAAATTTCCCTAAAATGGGGTCACCTGTTTGCTGTGGGTGGCGACCTGTGATGCCTGGGGATGGAGTCCTGGTGACTGAGTGACTCCTGGTCTGGTATAAAATGACCAAGAGTTTCCACAATGCATCACTTTGGTCCCTACCTGGGATAGACAAGCAGATCGAATAGCCCAATCCATTCCAATTGGCTAGTTACATTGTGGCAAGGGCTAGTTGGGATGATAATGGGTTCAACAGGACCATGAAACCTTATATCATATTATACTTGGGTAGATATGGTGGGTGAGTGCAGGTGCTCATATCCACTCTCATCACAACTATACTGTCTGTGTAGCCTTGGCGGATTAGGGTGAATGGGATTAGTCCCCCCCGATAGCGTCCCTTAAGAAGGAACTCTGAGGTGGGTGAGGAGCACACAGTGAATACAAAAATTTTAAATTATATGGCTATCTCTTATAAGCAAACCAAGAGACAATATGAGATTTCTGAAAGTGAAAATGAAATCGAAAAAAATCAATTTCCAACTTTCATTGTTGTAGAATCAGTAGAGGGTGATATATCAGGCGTCTCCTTTTGTGTTGCAAAGGGTTATTTCAGACATGATCAAACCAGTCTTAAAGAAAAATAATAATCTATTAACTCAAGTGATATCCAAAAGACAGAGAAATTGCTAAAAATCAAGCAAATTGACAACCAAGTCAAGGCCTACCCCCATCAATTTCTTAATTCATCAAAAGGTGTAATAAAATGCTCAGAACTGTCACTGTTCATCAAAAGAAATTGAAAATGATGACACCCTAAAAAAGCAAGGCGTAACAGATGTTAAAAGAATGCAAGTAAAAAAGAGATGACACCGTCATAAAGGCCAACACATACATTTTGACATTCGACAAACCGACTCTGCAAAAAGAAATAAAGATAGGTTACACAATAGCCAAGATAGCCATACATTCCTAATCCCCATAGATGTCATAAATGTCAAATTTGGTCCTCTTCAAAATGTTTGTACAAGAACATCAGTCTGTCGAAGATCTGGGGAACTGGAAACTGAGCATGATGAATCACCTTGTGAAAGGCCTCCTTTATGTCCAAACTGTAAAGAAAAACATTCAGCAGACTCCAAAGAGTGTAACAGTTAGGAAAAAGAAATAATTAGAAGAAAATACATGCAAAATATCTCATTCCAAGAAGCCAGGAAACTGGTTGAATCTAATTCACTTCAAGCATCATATGCAAATATAACTAAAATATCAAATTGACAAAAAGTCATCCAAGAAAACACTGCATGAAGCCAAGATCTTATAACTCTTATTAATGAATTAAAAAGTTTAGTAGAACTACTAAAATGTAGTATATCACTTGTAAATCAAATGCCCATAGACAAAAAATCCTATCCCATCAACCACAAACAAAAAACTGTACATATACAAAATAATTAAATCCGATAATTCCAATCCAAGAAATAGAAATCTCTAAATATTCTCAAGAGAATCAAAAGGTACATAAAAAAAACAAAAAACTCTTCTTTTAGTGAAGAATCAAGAAAAATGGCCATAGAGGAACAAAACTTTAGTCCATCACAAACAAGGGAACAGTCATCATCAATACAAAGATCATTAAAAGAACCTAATGGAAAAAACAAACCCTATACTGTCCACCACAAACAAAAATGAGTCTACATCTACGAAACTATTAAACCCAAAAAATCTAAACGAAAAAAAATCCAAGAAATAGAAACATTGAAACATTCTCAAGAGAATGAAAAGATACAAAAATAAAATAACGAAACGGTTATTGAAGAACCGATGAAAATGGACATAGAGGAACAAATCTCTAGCCCATCACAAACAAGGGAAAGATCATCTAGACAAAGTTCATTAAAAAGAACCGAATGGTAAAACTAAGGGAGCAAAATCAAAGAAAGACAAAAGTTCAAAGAACAAAACATAACTAGAAACAAAATGTTAATAGTCTGAAGTATATAGAAATGGACACTTTGTGCATATTAAAAAAAAAAAAAAAAAATGTAAAAATTCGTAATACATAATCAAGATGCAAAACCTTATTCAATGGAATTGTAACTAGGGTCAAAACACTAAAAAAAAAAAAGTGTAAAAATAGGTTTTAATACCAGAAATACTTTGTAAAAAAAAAAAAAAAAAAATACCAACAATACATTTTTGAAAACCAAATGTTGGCATCAATGCATTTTTGAAAAGCAAATATTACCAGATATACATTATTTATTTTATTTATTTATTTATTTATTTTTTTAAATTACAGCTATACATATTTTAAAGAAAATTATTACCAGAAATAGAATTTTTGAAGGAAAAATTATTACCAAAAATAGATTTAAAAAAGGAAAAAAAATATTACCAACAATAAAAAAATTGTCAGCATTTAATAACCCATTGAGGTTGATATGCAGTCAAACCAAAACGAACCAAACCAAATCCATGGAAAACTTATTTTAATCAGAAAAATATTTTAAATCCCTGGATTGTAATTGTAGCTTGTAATACTGAATCCTATTGAATGTGGTTAATTCTTTTTGCTGTGCAAATGCCTAAGCAATAACATTTTGATTGCTTTGTTTGTAAGCCAATTATAATAGAAAATATGCAATCTTAGAAACTTCTATAATGCTCATTATTAACTCTTATAACTGCCAGTGGGTTATTTGAATGTTGCATTTCTTCATTTATCAAACTATAGATTTTCTAAGCGTAGCTTAGATGTGGCACAAGGCCGAAGGTATGGGGCACCCAATGAGGATCGAACTCACTACTCAGCCGTAATTGTTCTAGCGAGACAAGCTTGCTAACTATTACGCCACGCCGAGGTACCCCTTCATTTATCAAAACTATGGGCTTTGAAAAAATTGTTTTTTTTTTTTTTTTTTTTTTTTCCTCTTCGCAGTTAAAATGGTAACTGTAATCTAAATGTCTTATTTTGTGCTCACAAAGCCTGTCTCCTTTAGCTTTGGATACCTCTCTTTACAAAAACACCTGTAATAATCTCTTGTAATTCATTTTTTTTAACTATAAAACTTTAAATTTGTCTACCAAGTTGACTAGTTTAATCCATTTGCATTTTAGGTTGTGGGATATTGAATGTGGAGCCTGCCTAAGGGTGCTTGAAGGTCATGAAGAACTTGTCAGGTGTATACGATTCGATAACAAACGTATCGTTAGTGGTGCCTATGATGGGTAAGTGTTACCAAATATGCATGTTTTAACAGATATTTTAAAACTTTATTTTTTAACTATACATGATGTAAATTTATGAATTGGTAAATAGCAATATTTACAAAATGCTGAAACTTTTCTGCTAAGTGTCTATTCATAACACCAGTTCAATATACAAAAAACAGCAGTGATTAATGTTAGTATTAATGTATTATTTATTGCTTAATTTGAATATTTCATTACTTAAAACATTATTACAAGTTTAAAATTAGGTAAAGATGAATGTTTTATATATATCTCATCCTGAAATGGTGAAAACCTGTCTTTTTAAACTGATTTATTAATAATTTCAGGAAAATAAAAGTGTGGGACCTTGCAGCAGCATTGGACCCACGAGCTCCTGCTGGCACTTTGTGTCTTAGAACTCTTGTGGTAAGTAAGGTCATTCTTGGTTGACCTTTCTGTCAATTGTCAAAATTTCTACCTTCACAGATAAGATCATAATCACCGTATGCATAATTGAAAAAAGCTTTGTGTGCAGGTGTCATGTTTATGCTTGTGATAAGTGTATAAAGACATTTACCAAGCTTGACTAGCATGTTTCTCAACAAGTAAATTTTTGGGCACCATCGCAAGAGACACTTACAATCAACAAACTTAAGGGTGTGGAAAAGCATCTTGTCCAAAGACAATTGCGGGTGAAACATCTAGTGCTTTTTCGATAAATATTTGTAAAAGTAAATAACCTGTTTATAAGTTGCTGAAATGATAAACAGGTTTTTTCCCCTCCCCAAATCTGGGAAGACTATTGTAATAGTGCTTACACTACATTTACATTACTACAGTCAAAATCCTTGAAAATGGTTAATAGATGAACTGAATGAATAATCATTAAACTTGCTCTCTTAAAAAATTTTTAACCCAAGAAAAAATACTTGTTGGTCACTTTTAGTGGGGGTGTATATAATCTCTAGCAGATAGATGAATGATTGATATGCTAGCTGAATATAAAGATTAAGATTTTTTTATTTTAATTTTTTTAAAATATTCATGTGGAATTGATGGATTTGTCCAAATCCTTTTTATAGAAAATAGGATGAAGTGGAAAATAATTTTGTTCAGTTTTTGAATATGAAGCTAAATGTGGGTGAAAAGTTTAAATATGTGGTTAATTCAGTAACCAGAAACTTTTACCTGTGTAATCTCTCAACCAATATGGCCTGATGCAAAATATGCAGAAAGTATAAAACCTGTATGAATATTTTATGTGGCAAGTTCTTTGTGTGAATGACCGTCTAATATAATCTTGAGTTTGCATTTCTTTTTTCAAAGCTGCTGCATACTGACAATTTTTTTTTTTTTTTTTTTTCTGCACTACATTTGTGCTTTCCTCATATTTACACCATCTTTTATACTATTTATATTTTCTCTGCTCTGGTTACTTCCAGTTTATATCCCAAAATAAAAACCTGGATGAGTAACAGATTGGAAAGAATAAGATAAAAGCAAAAAATGGGGGGGGAAAAGAGCAGACTTGAATTAATGGCTAATCATTTTTTGCTGAAACTTGCATTTTCAACATGTCACTTAATTATAAAACCAATATCTTGCTTTCTCCTGTTCTCTTAACCAAATCTGTCCACATTTTAACTTTTTTTTTTTTTTTTTTTTTTCTGCTCTCGTTTTGCAGGAGCATTCTGGTCGTGTGTTTCGATTACAGTTCGACGAGTTCCAGATTGTTAGCAGTAGCCATGATGACACTATACTAATATGGGACTTCTTGAATGTTCCTATCCCTGAAGGTTCGACTCGCTCCCCCTCCAGGACATATACATATGTTCAGTGATGACCAATATCCACCAGTTGCTGCTACTGCTGCCGGCTGCCACCCCCCATACCCAAACTGACACACCCCTCCCAAACTATGAGCGCCCCCTCCCATCAATGGAGAAAGAATTAAAAACAAAAAAATTTCTGATGCTGACACGCTTGTTGAATGCATGGAACAACTACATTATTTTCCTTGTCACAGGAAGTTAAAAAAAAAAAAACTCTTGTGGGCTGCACATGTCATGCATTCTGTTTTATACATAAAAAAAAAAAAAAAAAAAAAGAAAATGGACAATACAAAATAACAAGACAACTTACATGGCAAAAGTTATTGAAAACTGGTAAAAGAAAAAAATTTGTGATGTGACCTGATGCTAGAATAAGGAAAAAAAAAATTCTAAGGACAAATTATGGGAAGGAAAGAGTGAGAGGGCAGGCACTGAACATCTTAAAAATGCTCTCCCTTCCTCACTTCCTTTTTTTTCTTTTTTTTTTCTTATATATTCAATCTTTTTCCTTCTCAGCTAAGCATCTTCATGTAATATTTTTTTCTTTCTAATGTTGATCAGGTCCTCTCAGACTGGTAAGCTGCCAACCCTAAAATTTTACCTACTTTTGTCTCTGGCTGTCGCTCATTTGCCATGAATTATTTTTATTTAAATTTTATTTTGTTTTCTCCTTTAACTGGGAAAAAAAAAATCTCTTGCCCATGAGCAATAGTTGTGTGCCTGTGTCTGTCTCTGTATAATGGGATGCTTCAATGTTCTGTCTTCAGTCCACTAGCAATACTACTGCCAACAAATATATATATATATATATATATATATATATATATATATATATATAAAATGACATCTGTTTCTGTATAGTTGCCAATATTGATAGGGATACTGCAATTATATCCCTCTTAAGATAGGGGTGGGTAAAATGGTATTCTGAACTCTGCCTTTGTAATTTTGTACAAGTGACTTTATTTATAAGCTTGTAACTCACAATGCCAGACTGCTGACTGGAATATCTAGAACTTGTGAAAATTGTGGACTAAAGTCAAAGGCAAGATGGGGAGTAAGGAAACCTAAAGCAAAAAGCCCATAGATTTTTTTTTAATAGGAAATTGAAAAACTGTCAAACTAACCAGGAGCTATTTTGAACAGTGTATGTATATGGTGCAAAAAAAAAAAAGAAAGAAAAAAAAAAAACAAACAAAAAAAAACTAAATCTTTTTCTAGTATCTTGTTTTTGTCATGTCTTTGTAGAAGCTTTTGAAGAACTGTGAAGTCGGCTTGGGTTTAAATCTGGTCGTTGTTATTGTTTCTGAAGTTGCTGGATATTTTTTTTTTTTTCTCCATATGAATGCGGTTTGCTTTTGTGTGCACACAAAGAATGAAAGGAAAATGGTTTAGTTTTCACTCCTAATGCATCAAAACCATTGACACTTTATCTTATTCCGTTTCTGTGCCTACTTCAAACAGAAAAATCTCTTCAATTTTTCACTTAAAAAAAAAAAAAAATTCCTTGTATGAAATCTCTGCTCATCCCCCTTAACTTCTTCACATTTGTACTTTCTCTTTCTCCTTTTGGGCTGGTACCCTTGGAAGCTGACAAGTGTTAATGGATAAACTGCAGGAACAGTGGCTGCTTTAAAAAAAAAAAAATTTTAATTGCAGTAAGGAACTTTTTTTTTTTTTTTTTTTTTTTTTTTTAGTCTGAATCCCTGCCCATTTATTGCAGTTAAATGTATAAAAGTGTTCTGAATATTTTAATTGTTGCCCACTTTTCAAGGAGGGGAAACGTTTTATTGTATATAGACATAATTAAAAAAATAAAACAAAAATAAAAAAATCATTCCGGCCAGAAACAGATGATTTTTTTTTTTTTTTTCCTATTATCAATCAACCTTTTACTGCTGTGTCAAGCTTAACAAATGGTACTGCCTGTTTTGCTCCTGTGACAATGAACACTTAAACTGTTCAAAATTAACCACCCCTCTCCAAACTCCTTCCAGCACTCTTCTCCTTGGCATTTAATGTCACAAGTTTTTATCTATAGAAACTGCAATTTTATTTCTTTTAGTTTTGCTGGTCTGTAATTTTATGTTCACACCTGACCAATTGACAATTCAATGCGACATTAGTTGTATTTTTTTATTTAAGTACATTGTTTTAAATTCTGTTTAATTATTTTAGTAAACATGTGCTGAAGTTTTTCTATCTAAATATAGAAAATCTCCAATCTTTTTCAAAACTTGTTTTTACTTGGTTCTTCCTTGTTTGTCTACTTTATAGAAATATTTATTTTAATTATGCTTGTTATTAAATGTCTTTACAGTTTGGGGGGGAGGGGAGGGGGGTCTTATTTTTGTGCCCCTCCACTGAATTAATTTTGATATCTAATTTATTTCATTAGTTTTGTTGACTTGTCTGTTTTTGTTTTGTTACATTTAAAACTTTTTAATCCTAAGTCTATTTGTATCCATCTTGTTTGAAATCATTGATATATTCTCACAATATTTGTTTGGAGTCCTCTTTGCAACTTATATATATATATAAAAGTTGCTCTTTCTATTGCTTTTTGTGAAACTTCTATAAGCTAAGCTCTACAGACTTCTGTAAATAGTAAATTTTATAGTGAGGATAGATTAAGGAAATTTCACTTAAATTTTTTTATTTGGTGTACAGATCTTTTCTTTTATCCAGATGGCACATAACTGTATTTTACAGGAATATTGTGAATGGCAATTTTTACTGCTCTCTGATTAATTCTGTATAATTTTCTTTCTTTTTATTGAAGGAGTTAAGTACTGGTGTTGACTTTCCTGTTGCTGATGTCATGTCAATGTTCAGTAATACGTGTATATTTTGAATGAAAACCATATGAAAGTTGACTATGTTCTGGACTTGTTAATGTGGTAAACTAAAATTTAATATTTTAAATTGGTCTATACAGAATTTCTCACTTTTCGTTTTTAACCAGTGGAAAAAAAAAAAAAAAATAAAAAGCAAAATTTGACTTTTTTTTTTTTTTCTGGTTTTCTAACCAGAAATCATTGCATACAAGAGGAAGAACCTCAAAGGAAAACTACTATGATGGTAGACTTGAGTGAACAGTATCTTTTTTTTTTTTTTTTTTTTTTCTTTAATTCTTTCTGTTACTGCTTTTTTTTTTTTTTTTTTTTTTTGTAGAAATTTTAAATTTCTAATGGCACTCTCTTTATAACTGTCAGGAAGAGGTGTTTTTATATAATTGAGGTATTGTAGATTTTACAAGTACTACATAATTCTTTTAACCTGTCATTCTATTCAGGCATTTCAAAATAGTCACTTGAATAGTATGACTTTTTCTTTTCCAAATTACCTCTGAAACTTATGTAATTAATTTTCCTTCTTGGAGAATGTGTATTGCAAGTAGGTGTTTTTGGTAATACAACTTATGCAACTTGGTAATTCCAATTCTTTGTACATTGACCGTTTGTAGATATTTTACTTCTGTTGGTCACTTTTCTAGCTTTCCCAAGGTTTTTTTTTTTTTTTTTTTCCTTTCCTCTCTTTCTTTCTCTCTCTCTCTCTCTTTGAAATCCAAAACATGAGGTAATTGTGACTTGAAGTTACAAATGACTGTGATCTCATTAAACTCTTCTCCCACTCCGGTTTCCCTCCCCTTGCCCACCTTAGCGCTTACTTACTTCCACCACAACACCAAGTGTTGGATTGGAAACGCTTTTCTGATACATATGTAAAGGGAGGTAACTTGTTGGAATAGTAAAAATTCGCTTTTAAGTTGAATGATAAATTAGTTCCTAATAATTTGTAATGACTTGTTCATTTGTATTATTGAATTTTCCTATTAATTCTATATGTCTATTTAGATCTTACCATCTTATACTTTGAGGCTATTGATTCCACTTTACCCACCTCCAAAAATGCTTTGTAATATGGCAGGCAACTTTTCTTTTAACTATTACAGAAAACTGTTGATCCCCCCCCCAAAAAAAAGATTAGTTTAAAATGTCACTACTCCTTCCTCTCTATTTAAATGCCTTTTCCAATGCCAAATTCTTATTTCTTGTAGGATACTAATACTATTGCTGGAAGGTTGCAGGGAAGGGAACAGTCTGTTTTTAGTATGTATGCTTGCTGTATGATTTGTATGTTTGATAACTTTGGTAAATATTTTCGAGGCAATGTTGTGATATCCACAGTATTTTTCTCTTTATTTTATTGGTAACTACATGATTGGGTGTATGTATGTGTTTATCATGGTTTTAAACAATCTTGTTACTATCCTGGGCTTTTTTTTTCTTCCCTCTCCTCCTTCTCTTTGTAAATAAACTTTTTGTATTCTCCTCCTGTCTTATCACATTTTTTTTTTTTTTTTTTTTTTTGTAATGAACCAGTAATCCCTCTGGAAATTAAAACTCTGGCCAAAACTTTGATGGGAGCTTTAAGAAACTTTTTTTTTTCTTTGTTAGCAGATGAAGGGCCTATAGGACACAAACTACTCCCATCCTGTAAGCTGAGTATACATCTCGCTGTAAATTTGTTTCGGAGTTTTTAACCTTTTCTTTAACACCTTTCTTTGTAACCTTATTTTCATAAATCAGTTGTTAAATGGGCAGTTTGTTGGGTGAAATAGTTATTGATAAAATAAAGAAAAATGACTTGGAAAACTTACGTTAATATGGCTACCGTGCTACTCCAGAGAAATGGAGATTATGGCAGTAGTGAAGCTAGCTATGACTGGGACCTGCTCACTCTTCATAAAAGTTCTCTACATGGAATCCTTTTTTTTTTTTTTTTTTTTTTTTTCCTCTCTCTTTCTTAACTATAAAGAATTGGAGTTATTACTTTTTATATTTTCCTCCCCCTACCCTCTTTCTTCTAACTTTCTAAACCTATTCTAAAATCTCTCTTCATTAAAAAAGAAACCTTATGGTATATTTATTATTTTCTATTGATCACATTCAAACTTAAAAGGAAAAAAGAAACAAACACGAATGCTCAGTCCTTTGGGGAGGAA